GTAGAGAAGCTGCTCTTAAAATGACTCCTTTTTCTTTCACAGCATGTCTCAAAAAATACCTTTTTCCACTTGCTGAGAAGAAAATACAAATAGCCTATCTTTAAGGCTTTTTCACTCCTGTTTGATGTTTAGTGTTGCTTTATTTTGACTATTCTTCTGTGATTCTGTTTTCCTCTCGCAGTTGGCAGGCCATGTAGTACTTATGCAGTAACATGAATCAGAGGCTTGTGGGATCACGTGGTGAAAAACTGAAAAATCTTCTTTTATCTGAGGTGAATATCCTCCATCTTCATTTCAGTACAAAATCAATGCCGGCCAAAGCAGAAATTATGCTGTGTGCCACAAGAAAAAAAAAATGTTTTTCTCGCAATAAAAAGAAATATGGAGTTGCAGTAAAGGGCAGAGGGGATCGTAAAGTGTTGAAGTGACTTCATCCTCAAGCAGTGCAGTCAGGTTGGTATTTTATGGTTTATTGTGCTGTGATGGTAGAGGTACTTTAATTACTGAAACGAAAGGTTAGTTTTCAGTATGGCAGAGCTGATGTCTGTCGAAGATTATGATTTCTGTGTTTAAAAAAAAAAAAGACTTCTTTGTTGACCAATCATTTACTCTCAGCTCTGAAACCGTCAATAAACTGAAGTGAAAGACTTCAACCCACACTTTCAGTGAATCCGCAGCAACACACACACAAACACACACACACACAGACATAGACACTCTCACTCAAACTTCACAAACTCATTCACAGGAGCACTAAGCCCTTGTGATGAGAGCAGCCACAGATCACAGCAGTAATTTGACAAAGGCTGTCACTCTTTACGACAGGGTGTGACCTCTCTGAACGCTCTGGCTGTAAAAAGGTCAATGTCCCCCAACTAGTTTCCAGTTTCTGCAGCAACTGATAATTCTCGGAGCCCAGTCAGCCACTCGGACGAAGGGTCAACCTCTATTTTCTTTTTCTTCTCTCACACACATCTCACGTGCGCGCCCAATCTTTCTGGCTCTAAGACGTTCTATCCCTCTTTCACAGACCTCACGGATGACCTCCCTCACCTCTCCGTCCTGTTTGGAGAAAAGAGCCTGACTGTTGCTTCACACAGTATTATTGCAATTATTTTCACCCTGAGCTTGTTAAACAGTAGGGTTCCCATTCACCCAGCTAGATAGAGTCACATCTCATGTCTTCCAATTTCCTCCACCAGAAACCTGGCGTGGCTCTCCTCTGCTCTCCCCTCTGTTGGGCTCCCATTGTCACTTTTTTTTTTTTTCGCAAATGACATTTAGACATTGGACTCCATTTTGCCTTTCCATGGAGGTGCTCTCAAAATATTGCCTAACACGTATGAAAAGGTCACGTATTCTCTCAGCCCGCTCTTATTCTTCTTCATTGCTTTAAAAAAAAAAAAAAAAAAAAAAAAAAAAAAAATGGCTCTGTATCAAGCACAATTACACACACTCAGCAACCCTCCCTCCTGTCAGAAGTGCTGTTAACTTTCTGAACTCGATTCAGCGTTAAGAGCGGCCAGCTTTGTATTCCAGAATGCTAAGAATTTTTCATTACCACAGCAGATATGCTCCTATCAGCATCAAATATGAAACCAACCTTCAATGTGATAAATAGGAGGGAAGCATCTCTGCGCTGCATGTATGCACGGGAGCTAGACTAAACAACAACAACACCAGTGAGACAAAACAACCAGCTTGTTTTGACAGTTATTTTTCCAGTAACTAAATCAGAAATACATATTTGAAAATCAGGACAGATGAAACTTGTTAACGCTGAAACAGTAGTGGGCCTGGCAAGCTGTCACACGTCACCCTCAGTAGCTTAATGATGCATCCGTGCCCTGCAGAGTTGCACATACGTGGATTGAGAAGACAGCGGAAGTAGAGTAATAACCCAGAGCATCCATGCTGGTTGTTTCTATCAGCACTGATAATTGGTGCAGAATCACACTGGGTCAGGTTGCATAGATAGGGACCCCACCGGCAAATAATCTTATGTAAACCTTATGTAAACAGTGGAAAGGTTCGTAATACTGTGGGACATTTGTATTGACTAGCAGATCATATGTGAAGTGTGAGCGCTGGTCTTAGATCAGAAACGTCATTGCATCAGTCGATGTATTGACTTACATCACATCATCCAGACCACAAGACGACTGCATAAAGTATTATTTTTGCAACTTCACGTTGCGAGAAAATATGGTAATAGGCCAATTTATTCCTCCAACCCAAATTTTAATCATAACCCCTAAAGCATCTACCACTGTGATTGATGTTATAACAATGACTGTCTTAATAGTAATCCTTCTCCGTGACTGTTTACAAGCTCTTCACTGTTTGAGGATCCTTTGATCCTCCCCTGCAGATGGTATATGAAAACATGACCGTCTCAAAATTAAAAGAAGATAAGGAGCTCAGCGGAGGGACTCGGAGGGGTCAAGCTCAGTCACACACACCAAGGTCAGATAAAGCAATGAGATCAGAGATTATCGTGGAGGTATTTCCTCTGCTGGCACCAACACATAGATCTGATGAGGGCACGCTGTTGTCGTAGTAGTAGTAGTAGTAGTTGTAGAAATGGTAGTAGAAGCAGGGCAGAGATTAGAGCGTGCTCCTCGTAGGCTCAGATCAGACAGATTGACTGGGGGCTGGGTGGTTTCACAGTCACTAAAGAGAGCGACACACTTGGACGAGCTCCCTTCACTTGAGCGTTTAACACAATTAAGTGAAGGCATTGTAGCGCTGCCCACCTGGGCTCTCGGTGCTCAGGCCTCGCTGGCGGTAAATCCTCTCCATCCATCTGGCCTCTTAAACTTACTATTCCTCCCCTGCTTTCTCGAACCCCTCCTCATGCTCTATATAATCTGGCCTTCTGAAGAGTGTCAGCTGTGATTCCTTATATTAGCCACTATGCAGAGGGACATGACCTTTACCAGCATTTTCAATTGACGCTTTCATTCTCCCATTTTTAATCAGGAAAGCATAAAGGGCCAACGGGTGCCTCCCAGCGAATACAGTTGCCTCTGAATTATTTAGGCGATGGGTGATTGAAAGTCTTTCATGCACCACTGCACCTCTCTCTCTCTCTCTCTCTCTCTCTCTCTCTCTCTAACTATCTATCTCTATCTATCTATCTTGCTCAGGTGCAGCCTTACTCAGACTTTACTTCATCCATATGTGACTAAACAAGTGTCCTTCTCTCTGAGGCTGATGGGCGAGCTCGGCATCACTTTGATTCTGTGAAAGACTGACGTCTAACAAAAGTCTTAAAGTCACCCAGCGCTAGAATGTGGGAACTCTCACACGGGGCTTTCATCTCTCTTGAGTCATTTCTGTACAGTCAAGATTCTTTCTCTCTGTGTCCTCACCTTTAATTGCATCCAGTCTTCTCTGAGTCCTCAGGAGAGCATGTGTATCATTCATCCTATCATCTGCGTGGCTGTGTTCCTGTGTACGTACTGAAGCTCTCTCATCAGTGCAGGTCGGCCTGCACAAAGGTCACAGGTTAATGAGAGTGAGACTGCGCTGTTCTGACACTTGATAGGGGGATGTGTGAACTGAATTTATGTATCCACTGATCCTCTAGGACTCATTAGACCTGAAGCATCTCTCACTACCTCATGAGGGTTGCATTTGAAACTCCAAAGTTACTCTTGCACATCATCACCTAACATCACTGAGAGCCTCTTTTGACTTTAGTGGACTTGTAATGTACTTTAAGTCACTTTGTTTACCTGCAGTGCGACGTAGCTGATCAACAGACTCGCGCCATTAGTCAAACTGAAGCTGCGCTTGTTGTAGAAGTGCTGAAAGTGCAGCATATTTCCAGGTTTATTATCACTCACGCTATTTGTCAGTTAAACTTTGTCATCTTGAGAAAAGAGGCACTGTGTGTGGTGGATTAATCATTTTATTCTGAAGGAGCAAAATCCATAAAATGATGACTGTGTGTTTATACTTATATATATATATATATATATATATATATATATATATATATATATTTATGTGCCCCTGTGTGTGTTTGTTTGCAGGGTTGTGTACATATTTCTGACAGGCATTAAAATGTTCTGGAGCAGTGGTGCGAAGATAAGAAACGAAGAGGGGAGTGGCGTGAATAGATCAGAACTCAGTGAAGTAGAACATGAGGGGGGGGTGGGGGGGGGGTATGATGACTTACCATGTCGCCTTTCCATATTTTACCTCATTTGGGATTTTTTTTATTATTATTATTCATAGCAAGATTGCTCTTGGTATTTCATTCTATTAGGTGCAGCCAAGAATGTCACCATTTAGCTCCTAACCTATATTTCACCACGTAGTGGGCACGTTGCATGGCTCTTATCTCTCATAGATGGACCAACACATCAGCAGGCGGGAAATTGCACTCCACCAATCTGAGCCGTAAACACTAATGCATTAAAAGGCCCACACTGCAGACCTCAAACACATCAGCGGGAGCCTGGCACGGTGACAGGGAGGAATTAGGGAATTGCTCCCTCTAGGTGAAGTTCAAGTCTACTGCGGGTGGCTTTGGAAAGTTTTCATTTTAGGGGGTGGCAGTAATTACATCTCTGTTTGTTCTGGATTTAACGTAATCAGCTCAAACGTGCAAAACCAGCACGGCCCAAGTCCAATTTTTTGCTCTAATCTCTTGCAAAGCTGTTATTGGCTTATCATAGTTGTAATTGGTGTAAACCCTCTTGTTTTTTGAGCAGTGTTTGGTGATGGATGACTGTGTGGGTAATTCCCCAGGCAGCCAGAAGGAAGCTGAGCCTGTTGCACTGGGGTTTTTGGGGCTGGGATTTGTGTTATTTTAGAGCTAACCTCACTCTGACTATTCAGGAGGTCTGTCATTATGAGAAAAATCTGCCAGGGGGGAGCTGAAAATTATCTTGGTTGTTAATCATTTTTGTAGTTAACCTTGAAAAGACTGCCATGTATCTGCCGTTTGTTTTCTCACCTGGTTGCCTGTCTCCTCTTCTGCCTTGCAGTTATGTGGCTGTGGGCTGCTCGGCGTGGGCATCTGGCTCTCCGTGTCGCAGGGCAGCTTCGCCACCTTCTCGCCCTCATTCCCCTCACTGTCGGCTGCCAACATGGTCATTGCCATCGGTGCCATCGTCATGGTAACGGGCTTCCTTGGTTGCCTGGGTGCCATCAAGGAGAACAAGTGCCTGCTTCTGAGCGTGAGTGAAATCTACATACCTATGCCAATACCCCATTGTAAATAAGACGCACGTAGACCCGACACCCTGCAACTCCTTTGGATATTTGTTTTTTGTTTTCTCACTTGCCCCCACATCAGTCATTCAAATATTGGCAGAAATGCCTTGAGGAGTCAGCCTTTCACATATGTGTCTATACACCTACACGCGCTGGTCACAGGCCAGAGCGAAATAAGCAGCATATGTGTGTTTGTGTTTGTCGTCCAGCAGGAGCCTCGGCTGAGCTAGACGACTGACAGAAGGAGTTCAGTCTGCATTGAATCAAACCTCAGGGGGCTAACAAAGGAAAACTAAAGCCGAGCAGTGGGATTCTCCCTCTCCCTGCAAATTAACACCAACACATTCATGTCATTTCCATGGCTTAGGTCACAGCCCAGTGAAAGAGGTGTCAGTCAGGAGGCCTTTTGTGTCACCAGCGTGGCTGAATTACTGTATGTACATAGCAAACTAAAGGCACTTGATAATTTTCTCCTCAATAATTGAGATTGTTCTATTATTCATTACAAAGACTACTCCGTCTTGACGTTGCACTGTTTGCCCAAAGTTGTACAAGTGCTTTATCTTAAGCACAAGTTAATTATAAAAGTTCACCCAGTGGAATGAGGTTTGTTCGGAGAGAGAGAGAGAGAAAAAAAAAAAAAAAACTTTCATGTATAGAAACTTTAAATGAGACGTGGAGTTGGGGCTCTGGGTACTTAACATCACAAACAGCTCAATCCCTTGAAGCTCTTGCATCAGTCAAAAGCCCCACCAAATCCTCAGTATTCGACATGGCTTCCTTCACCTGCCTAACAACTGTGAAGCAGAGAGAGGAAGAGTGCAGAGCGCAGGGAGGGAAGAATGGGTGGGAAAGACGACTAGAATGAAAAAACAGAGAGACTTCATGGAAAATCCAGAAGTTCAGATTTTTTCTTATTGAAGTCTCTTGCCACATCTGTGTGTGGCTGCGTGTCATTTGGCCATTAGAATTCTGTTTAGTGCAGAGGTGTCTGCTAGTCATTTCTCCTTAGTCTGTTTGTCCAGGCGCACCCAGGGGAGGGGATGCAGGACCCAGAAACATCAGAACAGGTTTAGATCTTGTGCAGCAAACAGATCTGAGCGTTTACCTTGACATATTATCTCTAAAGTTACTCTGCCCACAACTCTCTCTGGATTAGTAGTATTCAAAGCCTAGATATCCCTAGCTGTGCATTTTCAGTCTCTCTTTTTACTGCCAAAACTTGTTTACTGAGACAAATTAAAAAAGGAAAAAATTTAAAAAGAAGAAAAAAAAAGAAGTGGGAGAGAAAACACTTGAATATCCAGCTGAAACAGCAGCTCTTTAAAACCTTGAAAGTGTGAATTGCCAGCAAATGAGAACATACGCCCACAAAGCTGCGTATGCATGTGATAACACACACACACACACACACACACACACACTCTCACACATCTCCATCAGCGCAGCAGCACCAGAAGCTGTTCTTTAAACTTTCAGCACCAGGAAAATGTGACAGACCGACTGTGAAGGCACAACAGCGATACGCTAAACTTGAAACCCAGATACTCAACCAACAACAAACTGTTGTGACTATTTCATTTGGGCTTTGACACAATAATTGTTGACTCCCCCTCCCTCCCTCTGAAACCAATTTGGAATTAATGGGGGGGTTTTTCTAAAATGTAGGTTCACGTGCCTCTTTCCGTGCTGTGCACAAGAGCTTGGTAAATATCGAGCTGAAGGGGAGTCAAGTAAGGAGAGATGATGAGATGCAAGGTTGTGCTGGAAATGAATCTTTGGAGGCATTAAACCTTCTTCCCCTCTTCTCACACGTTCACAAACCCTCCAGCACTTTTTTTTTTTTTTACTCCCTCTGTCGCTCCCACCTCATATATCATGTCTCTCTTTCTCTTTCTCCTTAACCCTTTTGAGGGGTTTCGAGTGTTTGTTGTTACTGAGGTTCTGGGTTGCTGTGTATTCGGCTGCCAAACCCAAATCATTAACTTCAACTTTAAAAGGAATAGCTTGACATTTTTGGAAACACATTACATTTGTTTCCTTCTGAGAGTTAGATGAGAAGATCGATATTTACTTGCACACCCTCATGTCTGGACAGTAAATCTGAAGCTACAGCCGGCAGCCGGTTAGCTTAGGTTGGTCTTGAAGACGGGAAACAGGGAGGGGAAACAGCTGGCCGGGCTCTCTCCAAAGATATAGTGGACAGTAGCAGCACGCACAACTCCAAATGATACAGCAATGTGTCAGGTGCACGGTCGTTGCTGTCTAAACAGAACAAACAGAATGTCGGCACTCACAGAAAAAAATGTCTTCTTGTCTCATACGGGGCAAAGAACAAACATGTTTCAGCTATAAATGTGACGATGTATAAAGACAGGTGAGGTTTAAAATCCAATCGACAAAGAGAATACATGGTTGCTACATGAGATCGGTCCGTTAAAGAATCACCCAGAAGCAACACCCCCAAAGAGGGAGGTGTAGCCATGACAACCGCATCACAAGATGACAAACGGCTAAACTAGAAGTTCAAGAACTAACACCCACGCCACAAACCACTACTAAAGAGATGCCTAATAGACACTGGTTAATAAATATGTATATAAATGTATATAAAAAATGGACAATTACAACAGTACTTTACATGATGTACTGCGTGAACATTCATAAAACCTCAATAGAGGAATTGATTTTGAGAATAATTTATGCTTAAAGATGTCCCCAGATGTCTCTCTAAACGTAACAAAATGCACTTAATAGCACCCCAACAGCTCACTAATTAACACCTTCAATATTTATCACACAATCAATTATAGATGCTGTCATCTAACTCTCAACACGAGAGCAAATCAAAGTGTTTCCCAAAATGTGGAATATGAGGGGTAGGAATAGAAAGAAGGAATCGCACATTCGCACGAGGCATTTGTAATAAAAGTATGTAAACTACAGTCATGTCATTTTTGTTCCTCGCATCCCGTAGCACTCAGTAACGCAAACGACCGCAACAGAGGCCCAGTCTCTCAGATTTATGTTCAATTTGTTTTTCAACGGCATGAAGAGGTGAATTTACTATAGTGCTGGAGTAATTGTTAAAACAAGACTCTCCCTCTCTCTGCCTCTCTCTGACAGTTCTTCATCGTCCTGCTGATAATACTCCTGGCAGAGCTGATACTGCTCACCCTTTTCTTTGTGTACTCAGATAAGGTAAGTTCATTTTGTTTTCCCTGTTATGTCTGGATGTTAAAGCTTATGTCTCTTACTGTTTCAGTTAGCTTGCTATATGCAGTCTAGCACTTCACCACAGCTTATCCAGACTCTGTGAGGCATTTACTGCAGTTTGAAAGCTTGCAAACACACACACACGCACAAACACATACACACACACACACACACACAGGACCACACAAAACTGCACAAAGCAGTAAAAGGTGTTAGAGTGATAAACATGTCTATGTTTCAGTTGCTTCCGGGGTTCAGCGTTTGCTCTTTTTATATTTGGCTGTTTCTCAGGCAGGAGGTTGAGTGTCTTCATTCTGCCACTAACCCAGGAGTCAAAGGTTAGGCCCAAAAACAGACTAATCCCCACCAGTTGGCTCCCTGTAATTGGTCCCAAGCGCATTTCCCATGACCCCTGAGTTGGCACGAGTCAGGTGTACGTCTGTGTGGTGACAGCAGATGATGATATGTGAAGATCCGGGGATTATTTACAAGCAAATTATTTTCTGCGCTCAATCAAGTTGAAGTCCCTTCATAAATGTTTCATCCTGAAAATGACAAATGTTTTGTGCAGGACAAGCAATGAAGTTTTCAAGGATACGGCGGTGATAGATAAGTCTATTTATATATTCAAAGTCTCTATGTCGCCCGGCCCTCGGGATGTCGGCTAATTCTCCCCCTTTGTTCTGAGGTTATTGCTTAAACTTAGTCTCTCAGGCAGATAAAGGAATTCATTTAGCAGCCAATCCATTCTCAGATTTGGATCAGGTCTCGCAGGCAAACCCTGTTAGGAGTAAATATGTCTGTTGCCTTATCTCCAAAATATTACCGGCTTAACTTTGAGAAAAAAAAAAAAAAAATTCCAAATGCTGATCCCTCCAGCAGAATTTAAATAGAGAGCCTCTTGACTTCACAGCGGGGCCTTCCCGTCACCTGTGAAGTATAGGGAAAAGATAGCCAAGTACAGCTCAGGATTTCTTAAATGAGAAACCAAATGAGTCTGCATTAATGAAAGACGTTAGTTAGGGAGAACTGCCTCATTCACACCAGTTCCTGCGATTAGCAACTGTGTTTTGTGTTTGTCTCTTCTTGCTAAATCACAGTGTGTTTATCCTAGCTTCTAGCTAATGAGATATTAAACCATGATAATGCTGGTTGCTAAATGCTAAATATATTTCCCTTTATTGGCTTTCAAAATGTAATTGGAAAAAAAAGGCCATTAGACCAAATTCTATTTTATTGGAGATGGCATTGCAGACTGTTTCTAAATAAGACATCCAGCAAAATTGAGGATGTTGTGGAATGCTGTTACTCAGCTGGGATTATATGTTAAAGAACGTCAGGATTAGATGAAGGATAATCGGTGTCCATCACACAAGGCCTTCAGATAATGCTTTCTTTTTTTTTTTCTTTATTCTCTCTCCTTGGCTTGGCTTGCTTCTCTCCAGTGAGATCTGATATGCCGTGTGAGGCTCTCCTCATCCTCCGCTACAGGCTGTGATCAGAGGAATCGCTAATTCACTTCTCTTATTTGATCTCATAATCACAAGGCATTTATTAACAAGTCTGGAAGACGTACAGTAGTTGGCAGCTTTTAAACGTGTATCGACAGAGGCCCGCAAAACAGATGTTTTAGTCTTTCAAATAGGTCATCTTTAAGTCATGACTTAAGTCAGTCTTAAGTCATGTCGCCTCTGTGATCCTTCTAGGTGTCAAGCTGTCAACGAGATGTGGGGAAAGAGTGAATATACTGTACCTGGTTTTGCTGCAGGAACAGTTTTTTTTAACTCCTTTCATTTAGTCACCTTGCCGCCCCCCCCCCCATTATTGCATCTCCAACAGTTTAATTCTTCTTAAAAGGTGCAGCTCTTTTTTCTTAATGGAGAATTTCTTCCTCGTCTTCCTGGTGGCAGCAGTCTTGCCGCCAGGTGTGGCTCATGCAAAGGTACCCCCTCTTTGCCTCCACAGCCCGGTGCTGTTAAGCTCTCTGATTAAATGCCATGTAGAGGCCGTAGTATAATAAAGGCTGGCCCTGCGGTTAGCAACCAGCTGACTACAGCAGATGGCTCGGCCACAAACCAGATTACAGCCATCCGTCTTTAACGCTCTGACCTCGTTGTGCCTCCGTCGACCCAGCACGCCGAGCCGAACACCGCTGAAGGTTTATTAGCTCAGAATGAGAAAGCAGGACCTGGCGAGGAGAGGAGACAAGCGCCAGAGCATGGGCATGTAGGGAGAAGGAGAGAAAAAAAGAAAAATGCAGAAAAGCGGCAGGGGAGGCAGGTGGACACAGGTGAGGGAAAAGAGGAGGTGAGATATCAAAGCCGAGGCAAAAAAAAAAAAAACTTGAATGGGTTAGGAAGGGAGGGTGTTAGAGAAGAGAGGGGGAAGTGGATCAAAAGAAGGCAAATATGACAAAAGTGATGAGAGGTGTCACTGTTAAGTTTTAGAAGAGTCAATGATGGAGGTTAGTCACATAAGAGACTGGTTTGGAGAGCGAGTAAAGGTTATACCACATCCCTGATATGTTGCATTTGTTTACAAGCAGAACTATGTTCAATCCCTGGTCATGCTTTGTTTTTCCAGACCAATTACAGTGCAGTGGTGGGGGGTCCTTCCTCGCTCTGCCGAGTGCCCTGGCCTCAGGCTACCCGGCACAGGCTTCCAGAGCAACTGAGGGAATTAAGTATCCTGTTTAATGATGTGCTGTTGGGGACCTCTGGCTCTGATGCTGTTTCTCTCCACATCATTTATTACACTTTCAGGGCAGTTAGCTAACACACTTGTCCGGAGCTGTGCAGCGAGAGCAACAGTAAAACACTGTTAGCTTCTGTTCTTGGGGTCAGAGGAGTTGATGTTTAAAGCCCTGACAGTATACATATGATCCAATAATGATTGTGTAAGAGAGGATGAGGGAGCTGAAAGAGACACAATAGAGTGAATTCAAAAAATTAAATGTGAAAAAGGGAAGATTCAGTGTGTTGACCTGAGTTTATCCTTGAAGAGAGGATGTGACTGTCACCTCACTGTTTTGTTACTCTCTCAGCTGACTGGAGATAAGCCAAAAGCCCTTCTGTGATCTGACAACACAGAAAAAAAGGATTGCTTTATTTCATTCAAAGAAACAGTAAAATAAGTGACAATTTGTTCTGGCTTATGCAGCTGTTTCGAGACTTCAGAGGATGAGTCATGTTTCAAGGCTGAATATGAGTGTGGGGCAGAGTGAGGTGAGTAGAAAAGGAAATAGATATTTGAAGACTAGTCCTGCAAAGTGTCTTGAGTAGAGTCCCCTCTTTTGACAGTAAAGACGCTTTTTCTGTCCAGTTTCACTCTTGGCATGATTCTGGACGCTACTTTAAAGAAAAACCCCGTAACTCAACGTAAAGGAATACACCTTCATTAATTTAGCATTAATGAGGACCGTACTGTCAACATAACTTAATATAACCACCATAAAAATTGAGTTCGCTCCAGATCAAAGCAACTTGACCTAAATTTAACAGTGTTTTTTGAGTCATAGATGTAGCTGTGGCACTAATAAACTTTCATTCATACAAAGACGCGTGTTGCTTTCCGTGTGATTTCACTTGAGCAATCGTGGGAACATACCGGTTTTCCAGTTTTGTAATGTTGCCTTCCTTCCACCATAACAGCACCAACAGCAATACTTTCTTCCAAACACTGTGGATGCTAGAGCGAAGCCTTCAGTGCAGACTGAGACAGGAAGCATTTTAACATATGTGGCCGAAAAGAAAAAAAAATCATTGCAAAATTATTGTTATTGCAGGTCAAGTTGAGAGGTTTCTCAGTGAGAAGTTAGTGGTCTTTAACCAAAGCCTTGGATGTACTCCAGGTATGTATGGCAGGCTGCAGTTAATGAGAACAGAAGGTGCAGGCAGACGACTAAAAACTCAAATTTTCATCTGGTTATATTTTTATACACTGTATGTACCATTTGTTTTATTTCACAGATGGGCTGTTTTTGCTTTTTTCAGAGTGGTAATATATTTATTGAACCACCTGCATAGTCTTTTTTTCTTTATTTTTTTATGAAATCATACTGCAGAGGCTGTATTTCATTTGTAACATAGTTTGAAAATTGTAATTGCTCAAAGTGATAAATAGCAGTTGGGCAAATGTGAATAAAACTCACACACAAAACACTAATTGCTCTTCTATACACCCATCACACCACCAACTGTAAATGAGCAGTGCTTTCTTGTGTTATGTGAGCATCTCTAAATGCTTCATAGCATTCACCAAACAGCCATCAGAGACACCGGTTGTTAGCAAGTTGTTCTCAGAGGTAAAACGAATGCAAAAGAAATACAAAATGAACAATGGGGAACTTTAAACTTATGCTTCCATGGCAGAATTAGTCACCGATGTGCCCTTTGCTGTCTGAGCAACAACACTGGATGTGTGGTGCACACTGAACACTGAAGCACATGACAAAAAAAAGATCAAATCTTTCAAAGTTTTGAAAATTGGAGCAGTCAGCTCGGTCATGGTTATGTACTCCAATATTGAGTAAGCACTGCGGCTCAGTGTCTGCACAGTGACAGGTCCCACTGTACCTGGTCCCCAAGGTGCTTACATGTCACCAGATCTGGGGCCTGATTCTGACAGTAAGAAGCCCATCCACAGGAATTATTAATATCACCTCACACTGATCCCAGCACAGAGAATACACAAATATTCCCAAGCATATTTCTCTCCCAAGCAAAAAAACATGTTTAGGAGACTTTGGTGAAGTTGAAAAATAGTATTATTCAAGGAATAAAACAAACTGAAAACGCTCTAAAAACTCGCTTTAATATCGTACTAACTGAATGCATCGTATTATTACAGTGACGAGCGTTTATCAGACAATCCACCATCCACTCTCTGCTCTCTGCTGTCATGCACACTGACAGAATACAAACACCAATTTGGATAGAGAGCCTACTCCTTCCTCCATCATGTCATCATGTATATCTGCACATCTCCCTCTCCGCTTTCTCTCTCTCTGTGACTCTTGAGACTCGTGTTTTCCCGGCTGACCGAGTTCAAGCTTTTTGATTTCTGTGATGAATGTGGTGTCCTGTATCGCTGAGCGCGGACGTGGTCAGCCCAGAGGAAAGTGCCATCTTATCTGTGTAATGGCAAGTATGAGCTGTGTCTCAGGGCTTTTGTCGCTATGCCCCACATGAAATATTGCATAGATGCCCTGTGGCAACTTTCACAGACGAGATGTTGCAAAAGTACGGTGTCATCGTCTTGTTTGTGAACAATTTTCAGTACCAGCAACATGAGTTTCAGTCAAGAAGTTAGTTTTCCTTATCAGAAAAAAATAGGCTAATGCAACAAAGGATGTGTTTGTATCTGCTCCTTTCGCAAGGAGAAAATGGGTCAGAGTGTTGCATGATCAAATCCCTGTTTGTTCTGCAGTCATTTGTCTGCCTCTCGTTAGCAGTAAATCTAGATCATTAAGTTTCATTTCAGGCTCTAACAAAGACTTCCACACATGCAAAGGAAGATGTGCAGAGACTTATCGGAGACTCAGACGATGATTTTTATTTGTAGGCGGTGGAGCTGGGGGTGGGGGGGGGGGGGGGGCATCTGCTCTCTGGTGGCTGTGTTAGTGCGAGGAGTCAGTAATGAGCCAGCAGCATCACATACAGATGGAGAGGAGAAGATAGAGGATTAAAACAAAGTACGAGGCAGAGATTGATGATGCTGCTCTTCATCTCATTTTCCTGCACAAGGACAGATATGGTGGGGCCTGCAGCCCGGAGTGCAACACACAGATCCTCTCCTCTGCATCTGCAAAGTTACAGAGCGAGACAGAGGAATGTGATTTGAAATAATACTAATCTTATTTCAAAGGTTTTAAATGATGTTTTAAATTGGTCTTGCATGATTAATGATTACTAAAGCACTTTGTTGCCAAGGAAACGTTAATTACTCAGTAAAAAATATCGGTTTGACTTTTACGTTTGATTCAGCAAATAGCTTTCGTGTGCCTTGCAGCTCAGAAAACAAGGGTTTGAGGCCTTTTCCTCCCACCAATTCATTGACGAGTCACTTAATTTAAAGCTTAATTTATTAATTTAATTTATGGGAAGGTTTGGTCTGTCTCTCATATACAGTGCAGCGTACACAGGTAGTCAAGTAACATTTATTTTATAGAAGCAGGCTGACATTATCGACCAGGCGGCTTCAGTTTTTCTGCTTCTGTTATTTTTTTAAACTGAGGAATTTACCGAGCAGCTTCCAAACAATGTCTAGCTCAACATCAGTCCTCCCTCCCTGAGAAAAAGAAAGTGGAGAATAGCTGAAAGCACCTTGTTGTGTCAGGCACTGACAGACATAATGCCGCTTCTTTTATTGTGTGCAGATCTTTTTTAAACTCCAGGGCACAGTCTGAAGCCTTAAGCTTTAACTATTAAGGCAAGTGCGTTCCTTTTGTTGTGATATAACTTGTATTTCTTGTGATGCCGTAACAGGATGGTTCTGGCAGTACGTGTCATTTTTCCAGTAATAATTACCCTATATCTGAAGCGCCTCTCAATCTGTCCTGGCAGTTAGCAAATCCCTACGGGCAAAGCGAACTGCAGGAGAACTAAAGCTCTGATTTTGTATCTCATTAACACATCCAATGAGATATTAATCTCCATCAGACATAGTACAACCCCGAGCACATTGTTGGGGTTCAGTCAAGAGGAAAGTGATTTGCAAGCTCTGCTGAAGGGCATGTTGAAGTGGTGTGTGTGCGTGCGTGCGTGTGTGTGGAGCGAAGCGACACATGACATGTGTCAGATCTGCAGTCATCATGCACAAAGTCCAAGTCACTGTAGCGGAGATATTTTTAGATGACAAGCGAAAAGGTTACCTGTAAGCTGTGTAGTTGCTGTCAAGTTCCATTGGTTTTTTGGTATCCGCTGGTAATCTGCTTTACATCCTAGCTGTTGCTGTCGCCTGTGTATGTACGCTTTTCATCATGATGAGTCGGTTCACAAAAAAGGAATCCATGATCAATCATACACAGCACTCTAAAGACACTAAAAAGCACTTCCCTGCTTGCCATGGACACCACCATTATCATATACATCTCTGAAGAAGACATTGATAGTTTGAAAAGATCAAAATAATGTGAATACGCCCTTAAAAGTACTCAAGCTTCAACTGCCTACTCCACTGTCAAGACTGTAATTTAATGCTGTAACTCGATTCACAGTTTAAAAACCAGAAGTCCCTAACCAAGGCAGGTGTTTTCTCTTTCGTCTCCAGGTGAGTGAGAATGCTAAGCAGGACCTGAAGGATGGGCTGGCTCTCTACAACTCAGAAAACAACATAGGATTGCGAAATGCCTGGAACATCATCCAAGCAGAGGTAGGCAGATCTCACAGCATTACACGCATTACATCAAATATTAGCAACATTACCGTGGTCGTTCAATCACAACAACAGAAGTGATATATAAATGCAAAGTTTTACTGAAATATTCCAGCTAATGTATTTCCTGGCTTGTAGCTGTGGCATTAATGCAACATTAAAAGTCAAAACTGGCTGTTGAAGTACATTTTGTTCCATTATTGTAGCCCTCTAATGCAAAGGACTAATTACAATACTTGTCACATTAAAGCATTAAATAATCTTGTGTGATTGTGTGATGTGTGTGTGTGTGTGTGTGTGTGTGTGTGTGTGTGTGTGTGTGTGTGTGTGTGTGTGTGTGTGTGTGTGTGTGTGTGTGTGTGTGTCTTTGTGTGTGTTCACAGTGGAAATGCTGCGGTGTGATATCATACACAGACTGGCATGAGGCCCTGAAGGAGAAAGTAGTTCCTGACCGCTGCTGCCAGGAGCATTATCAGAACTGTGGACGTAACTCCACCAACATGTTCTGGAACAGGGTGAGTGCAGATTAACTGTAAGGTAAACAGGGCAAACATGTTTTTTGTTGTGTGTACACTACAAATGATATAAACATGGAAGGATTAGTGAATGGGCCTGCTGGGCACAAAGCTTTTGTTCAAAGTAACAGCTTCTTTTTGGAAAGTAAATCAAATAACTACAAAAAGACTCAAGATGACTACAAAGAGTCAAAACATACTACAGAGAGAAACAGAATGACTACAGACAGACACAATGAATTGAAACTCAAAACCACTACGAAGAGATGCAGAACAATCACAGATGCAAAACTACTACTACAAAAAAAACACAAGACAACTACAGCCAAAAAATTACTACAAAGAGACTCAAAACAACCACAGAGATGCTAAACAGCTATAAAGAGACACAAAACAACTGCAACGAGACACAAAACCTATACAAAGTCAAACAAAACAACCACAAAGACACAGAACCACTACAAAGAGAAATAAAAGGACTACAAACAGACACAAAATGACTACAAGAGAGAGTAAAACAACATCTCTTTCAGTCTGGAGTGGGGGGACTTTTCCCTGGTTGTACCCATTGTCTCATTATCCGTTCATAGATATGACGCTATTGGGATCATAAGCCAAATCCATAAGGTCTTGTTTCATGTCATATTTGAAGATATGTATATGCATATACATGATTTTAAATAATAATTTTGTTACTCCAAGCCGACACGACTGATATTAGTTCAGGATTCTCCAGGGACATAAAAATTATAAATCTTATACATCTTTAATCTTCAGTCCATCTGTTCAGTAGCTGCTCTTACAGGCCTCTGTGAGTAGTTCGAGTAGCTTTTAAGTTTTCCTCGTATTACTGAATTCTGGTCACACTGGATTTTTTTCCATTATGCATGAGACAACAGCTTTTTTTTCCTCTCAAAAACCTTGCAGTTCACCAATCTACCCCCATTACAAGTCTAATCTTCTGTTGGTCTGGCATGTGGTTTGTTAGCAGGTCCAAAGTAGGGGATTAAAAACTGTAATATAATTGCCAAAATGAGAATAGGCAGACATTGAGCTGTCCCATAGGGAAAGCACGGCACTAAAAGCTTGTGTGTAATCCTGCCCAAAGGAGGAGACGGCCTCACACTATATAGTTAAGACTTGCAGGCTGCCTCAGCACCCACACTCAAGAAGGGGCACCTCTTTGCAGCTGAAGCCACCATTAAATCCTTCGCCCCACCTCCCTGCCAGTGAGTGACCTCTGAGTGAACCCAGAAAGGAATATATTTAAGAGAAAGTGCACACGTCCGTCTATATGGCCCATAAGTCTGCATACAGAAGGCATCATTCATGGGTAATTCACATCTTTTAACACCTCACCTGGTAGTTCATTCATCCGAGGGTGTTTCTCATATATAAGAGATGCATTTTTTGTCTGGAAAAGCGTGAACTGGATGGTTTGGGGTTTTTTTTTTTCTAGCTGACCAAACATGCCACGAGTGGCCACTGCGACTGAAGTGACATGATTCTTCTGCCACACTGAAAATGCACCTTTTTTTTTTCTTTTTTTTTTGTGGAATCTTAACAAGCTTTTGTTTCATTTCAGGGCTGCTTTGAGAAAGTGGAGGAATGGCTGGATGAAAACAAGCACCTGCTGGGAACCATAGGCATGGTCATCTTGGTAGTGCAGGTAGGAGGCTGCCTTAGTGATAAATTGTTTTTTCCTTCTCCTATTTTTTTTTTTTTTTTTGCCTCTCTCCCATTTATTTTCCCTTCCATTTTTCTTCTTTTTCTTTGTGTCTGGGTGCATTTGTTTGTGTCTGCCTGTCAGGCAACATGTTTAAAAAAAAAAAAAAAAAAAAATACATGTGCATCCAATGGCCTCTGTGCCACCAATGTCTGCTGAGAAACTTATGAAGCCTGTGTTCAGTGGGCGTTCTGGGCACCCACACATCTTGAAATATTGAAGTCTGCACCCTCATACTGTCTGGGAGAATCAAAGTCACCTGGCTTTGTGCCAAACAGGCTGTTGTCATGTATAGGAGCCATCTGAAGATAAGGAGAGACAGATACTGCATACAGAGGAGAAGGTATAGAGCCACAGATTAAAGGCTTTGTTGAGAGGCTGGAAAGATATTCCTCTGGTCGTACCGTTTCTCTTTTTGTCTTAAACTCTGCTTTACATCCATCCCTATTCATACAGTTAGTGTCTCACTTTCACTTTCTTTGCAGTAGCTTTTCCTCTTCCTTGGGGATTGAGTCCTACAAGTGTCTTCAGACGGAACAAAGCAAAGCACAGCAAAAATGTTTTTCCTCAGGTTTGCACAAATTTAACTCCTGAACTGTTTTTGCAGTCTGTGTTTATTTGCTCCAGACAGCCTGTGATCTGAATGTACAGACGTTAGCTGTAGATAGCTAGCAACATATGCACCGACTGTGTGTGTATGTGAGTAAAAGTGTGTTTGTGTGGCAGCTCAGACTCTGACTGATCTCTTTCTGTACTCCTCCAGTCTCTGTCTGTTTATGAAATGTCATAAATGTGAAGTTTTCGCTCAAGTTGAAATATTTTTTAGCTCGCGCAGACATATTCTTTTTTTTTTTATGTGCAACCACAGTGGGCAGTAATGGACAGAAAGGTCCTGGGTTCATATCCAGAGGCTGCCAGTGAAGAGTTTACATGTGAGGGAATGATTGCCTGTCTATATGTGCCCCGCTGATTGATTGGCAGCCTGTCAAGGGTACCTTTCCTCTTCCCTAATGGAAGCTGGCATAGGCTCCTAACACCCAATAGATGGATGCATGGCTGGACGGATGCATCTTTGCTTCACTTTGTGCTGCCTTGACCAAATGCTTTTGTACCCACTCAACTTCGTATTCACTCATGTTTCGCCTAAAATTCACATCACATTCAGTGTGAATACACTTTAGGAACTCTGCTCCATCCCTGGGTCAGACTCTCTATCAATAGCTGTCTGTGCCCCCTGTGTAAATTCACTTCACCTTCTAATGCTTACATTTCAGCTCCTGCATACTACATATAATTTTAGAGATCTGTTGTCAGTCTAAGTTCCACCTGCTGTCCTTGAGACTTTACATGTCACTCACTTCCTAATATTTCCGTTTATGCTATGTCTCAACCCCCGTGCTGCACTTCCCCTCTTTTCATGCTTTCAACATTCCTCCTTGCTTTATTCCCCCTGCCCTTCATGGCCTGTCGGCGGCTGTACTTATGCATGACAAGTCTTCGGTTGGCTAATCTGTGAATCCATGGTTCATTCAGAGCGAGGTGGCCTCGCTGTGAAATCTCTGTGTTGAGTTTTATAAGACCCTGCACATTTCTTGTGTCCTTAGGGGAAAATGGTGCTTGAGCCTTAGTTAAAGTTCACAGCCATGCTGAGGGAGAGTCGGCATTGTACAGTGTGTTGCCCAACTTCAGATCAATATGTGTTCAAGACAAGATCGCACCCTCTTCTTTCATGCTCACACACTTTTTCATTCTAACCCACCGACTCTTTTCCGACTCTGTCTGACTCTTATCTCTTCCCTGTCTGTTCATTTCTTCTCCAAATACACACACACACACACACACACACACACACACACATGCAAAACATTGACAAATATCTGCCCTGTTTGGAGACTGATAAGGTCTTCGAGCAGAATTAAACACTGCAACACCGACTCGGCTGACATTAATTTTAATGAACTCCCTCTCTCTATACACACACACACACACACACACACACACACACACAGGCGAGGGGCAGGAGAGTCGAGAAACAGACCTTGAGCTGTCAGATTAGTCTCGAAGGCATGGTGAGAGACATTGCAAGTCTGCAATGTTACATAATGTCCAGAGGCGTGGAGAACTGGCTTATGAATGATTTAGACTTGCAGCATACACCGATCAGCCTCAACATTAACACCGGTAACTGGTTTTAATTTTGTGGCTCATTGGTGTATATGACAGACTGGCAAACGCCTGTATGTGTAACTTTCTCCACAATGGTTTCATCAAATCTCAGCAGTCTTTATATATTCTTAAGCATGGACGGATGATTGAGCTTTGAAGAATCCTGCAGGAGCATCTGTCATACTGTCTCGCTCTCCGACTGAATGAAGGAGACAGTTTAAACTTCTTGTGCATGTCAGAGCTGCACTGATGAACCATATGTAAATAATTGGGTTGGTTTTGAAGCATTTTTTTTTTTTTTTTTTATTGTTCCTAATTCCTTCTCAGAAGGATAGCACTTTGTGTTTTGATTGACAGTGGCATAAGGTGGCGTTTTTCTCTGAAGCAGCCGTATGAATTAGGCTTAGACTGAAACCAAAGGAAGAGAATCAGCAGCTTTCCCAGGCTGATCACATACTGTAGAAATCCCCAGTGGAGCCTGTTTGCAGGAAGTCCACGTTGCCATTTCTATTAGACTATGCACCATACAGTACTTTGCGCTTTCCCTGCCATCCAAACTTTTGCCAGATAATGGTTTTAGGATCAGCCTTGTGACTGTGTTTGATGTAGAAGTATCAGGGGTAATGGAAACTTCAAAGAGATAGCTGGCTACTTTGATTTAGTGGCATCTCAATTTACTTCATTGACTTAATGCTTGTGCACGCTGTACATTTTTTCCATCACAAAGATTCCAGAGCTCGTGTTTGAAGGCCATCTCAGCAGAAGAGAGAGTGAACGAAAATGTGCTTGTGCCTCACCACAGGAATTATTGTGCATCAAAACACAAACCAGCCCAAGGCATCAACATCAAAAAGATCACACATGCACATGTATATCATGCACTGACACATACTGTATGTACACTATACATACAGACACAAATTCACTATCTCCTTCTCCTTTCCTTTGCAGCTCATGGGCATGGCGTTCTCCATGACTCTGTTCCACCACATCCACAGAACGGGGAAGAAATACGACGCTTAGCCTTGCGGGGAGGCACCCGATTGAGAGGAGCCCCACTGCCTGATGGGATAAGACTCTTGATTTTAACACCCCAACCCCCACCCACCCCACTTGATAACCTCTTTAGAGCATCCTTTGCCCCCGCGCCACTTCCCCAGACCCTCTGTACAGATTCCAGCTGTGTCCCCGCTCTGATCTGCTCTTTCCACTCACCATTCATTTTGCCAAAGAGTAACACAACTGAAAGAGAAGGGACACCTACTTTTGGCAAGGAAGAGAATCCCATTGGTTGTCACTCCTCTTGAGTGTTTTTTCTTTTCTTTTCTTTTCTTTTTTTTTTTTTGCTTGGTCTAACAGTTTGCTGGAAGAAAGGAAAGACATTGAGACAATGAAGACTTTACTAATGCCCACCCTCCCACCCCCCACCCCCCCACTGAGGCAGCAAACATATGAACTGATAATACCCTCCACCTCTTGTGGAGTTGTTTGTTTTTTTTTTCCTCATGTTGAATAAAGTCAAGCCCCAATTTTCATTTATTTTCCTTTTGTAAATGAAAAATGTTCCAACATGGCATGCTAGTTTTCTACTTCACTGACTTACCTCTGTTGTCGAAATGTCAAACAATTTCTTTTTTTTTAAGTGTGTCATCAACGCTCCTGTGGAATGTAAGTGTTGAACAGATCAGTGCAATGAGCTCTTAGACATGCAGTGTGGTTGGATTTGAAGTGACGTTGCCGCGGAGGGGCACAGATATGGCGGGATGGTGTCTAATGTAATCCATGATTTATGGGTTTTTTTTTTCATTTGGCTGTAGAGATTTGGGTAAAGTGAGCGTGATGGAGGATCGTCGTGTTAGTGTGAGGAATCATCAGTGGATTTATTTTAGAGCAAGTTCTGCAATATCCTCGGAATAATAAATTGTAATACACAAATCTGCCTGTGAACACACACGCACGCACGCGCGCATACACACACACACACACACACACACACAATTTGTGCTGCCACACAGCAGCAGTATTTCCATTCCCTATGAGACAATACAAATGGTGTAAAATGGCTGTTTATTAGTGCTTCACCAGGACTGTCAAGTGAAGAGATCTGTGTGATGAAGTTCCCCCTTTGAGAATACAGAACAAACTGTCTGTATGTCTCTATGTGTGTGTGTGTGTGTGTGTGTGTGTGTGTGTGTGTGTAGCTTTATGGGTATGTTTTATCACGTTGTCCAAGCTGCAAAGCAAAAAAAAAAGAAAACAGAACATAGAAATCCAAAGAAGCACAGGCACAAGGGGCAAAAACAGAGCAGACATGCTGTCTCGCTGCTGCCATCAATTGAGTTAGCGGAGGCGGCTAGAACCTTTCTCTTCTTTCTAGAGCCTCTTCTTTCTCTCTCTGGCTGTCAACTCCCCCCTGCCTCCATCTTTCTTTTTTCACCCCAATTTTCTTCCCACGTGGCAGAATGCGATGAGCTTTTTGCTCCAAACGTACACACACAGTATCTCTGCTGACATTCCCGCTCACCACGCAGACCCATCCCCGGTTTACAACTTCCCTGATTATTCTCAAGCTTCCTTTTCTCACCGCCGACAGAGGAAGGGGTGGTGGGAGTGTAGGCAGATCAAAGCTGAGACAGATAGGTATGGCAACAGCTCTGTAGGACATGTCTGTTTATGTGTGTTTACCGCTGATTCGCTGCAGGAGGCCTATGCATCAGCCTGCCTCCTTAAGACTGAAAATACACTTCACCCGCTGTGGCGACTTCAAGAAAATGCCTTCCAGTGTGTCTGCTCTAGGTTTCTCAATTTCTGTGTGTATGTCAGTGGTGGTGTAGAGGACTGGCTCATTGTTAAAGGATCATTTTAGCTTTGATTTTATCATTGGTTATGATTACATTATACAGGATACAGTCAGTTGACAGGTTGTAAACAACACTCGAAAAGTCAGTAATAATCCCTCAGTCCACAGGAAAACTGCTTCAGCGCGGCTACAGCATGTACAACAGGTCAAAGTTGAACCAGAAAGTCAAGTCTGTTTTCTATATCAGAGGGTTATTGTTTTTGTTTTGTTTAGTTTTTTTTGCCTTCAATCAGCAGTGACTTATCTATCTGAACACATTTTCAGTCCACACAGGTGCAGTAGCAGGTGCGTGGAGCAGTTAACATTTTTCAGTCAAAGACATATGCTGATTTCAAGTCCATTTACACCTGGAACCAACACGAGTGAAAACATAGCATGGTAGAGGTGTAAAGGTGTAAACTGTCTGAAGCACAGTCTGCAGTGCACACACCAAAAACAGTTTTGTAAGTGGTGTAATGGATGTGTGAAAGTTGTTATTTCTGTTACAACAGCCCATACGATTGCATCGATCTCTTCCAAACCTGGTGCTTTTTTTTTTGTGGCCATTTTTCTGTTGATATGGCTGCGTCCAAAATCACTCCCTCGTTCGCTCATTCACTGCCCCCTATATAGTAGATAGTAGTTTAATCTATAGTGAGCAGTAAACTGAGCTTTTGGACACCTATGCATCATCATTATCACTAAGAGGTGAAGCATCTCATGACTAGTTTTTGCATCTATAAACTGACTGTAAACATAGCATACTATATACAAAAAAGGGTGTGATTTTGGACACAGATAGAGGACGTTCCTTTTCTTAATCCAGCCTTCAAAGCTCCAATTGATTCTTTTGTTTCTCTAGCCCTTTCAATTAGTGGAAAAGTCTGGGATGTAGGCGGCAATTCAAGATGTCTAGAATCTGCTTGTTTATTTTCTTGTCTTTCTTGCCCCGTCAGACTTCTTTGTAGAGGTGTTGCCACATTCCCAGATCTCAGAATGATGGCCAAAAGTACAAAAGTAAGGCCATGTTGTAATAATCTGAAATCGTCCTTTAACAGAAGAGGACAGGTGATTGTTTGTCTGCTGCTATTGAAAGCTGAGTAGAGAAATCATTGGGACCAGAAGTGGCTGTCGTTCTAAATTTTATCCAAGGTTGAGAGGGGAGTTGTTGTGTTCCTTTGGATGAAACCTTGAAATTCAGACACTGTGCAATGCTGCTACAGGTACTAACAAATGACTTGGCAAAGAAAAGAAAACCCACCCTGCTTCACTCAGGCTGTTGGCCTCAGAGTATTACCTGAGGTGAGGCATTTATTTATTGGTTTTAAAATGACTTAATATGAGAGACACATATTAAGGACAAGTAGGAGGGGCTTCGTGCATCATCAGGAAACAACAGATTTGGGCTGTGATGTGCAGCGACCCTGCTGGCTGTGTTTCACTGCCTGCCCCCATATGCTTCGACTCCTCGTGTCCACGGGGGAAACATGACAGCTGCTGATGTACAGCCCAGGCACGAGTGGTCACGTCTCCTCTGCTTGGCTGCCTCCACAAACTCTCTACACATCCCTTATTTACTGCCTCGCTCTGCCCTACACACGGTGCTACATATACAGTAACTGGCAGCACCGACATTGTAGAAATACAGTTGTGCTCTTTGAACGCCTCGAAGCAGCTGTGAGGTAAATTCTCTACCCGGGAGAGGTTATTGCAGGAATCGCTGTTACAGTTCTGTAAGTCAGACTGCAATGTATCCTCACTGCAGGCAAGAAGTTCTGAAGAAACACAAGATAAATATTTTTGTTGCGTTGCTTTGTCTTGCATTGGGTGGAAAAGCGTTTAAGAATGTCAGAGATGTCACAGAAAACGACCTAAAGCAAATCCGCTGTCTGTCTCCGAACCTGACGTCATACTTCAGAGACGCAGCCTGCAAACTCTGTAACTCCTTGCCTCCGAATGATCTGACTGAGCTGACATTCTGACATTTTCTCCTCCGTGTGAACTCCCTATCTCAGCTCTGTCACCGTCACCCAATTTTCATGTCAGAGAAAATGTTCCCCCATGTTTTTTAGAAAGCAGGGATGAATGCTATTTTAACAAAAGCTGTTTCATGATGTTATTTTTGTACATTGGTTGTCGCTGTTTTCATGTTTGTTTTTATACGATATACTGTTGTTTTTCTTGTTGTAGGCTGTTTTACTGTCTTTTTTTCTTTTGTATTAATTAATGACAGAGGCTCATTGTCACACATTATGAGAACATAATACTATTAAGCATTTGTTTCGAAGAGGATTAGTCTTTGCGATGTTCCTCTACAAGGTGCAAATATGCCTTTCTGTCTTAACATTGCTACAGGCAGTGAAAGTAATTAAGTCAGAATTGATAGAGAGGGAAACATTTGGCATATAGCATCGGGTGAAGCCCACAAAAGACATACTGCACGCTTGTCGACGTGCTTCTTCGTGTTAAGATCTAGTTTAATTAAATTAGGACGTGCTGCTATAATTTGCGGTATGTCTTTTAAAACTGCCAGTGTAAGGCCCATTATGTATTTCTAGAGCATGTACTATTAGATGACACTGCAGCACAGAGCTAATGTTACTACAGTATCAGTATCAGCGCTGTACGTTAGCTCAGGATGTAAATATGCTCATTTTACAACTGATGTAACTTGCTTTACCTCTGCCACTTATACTCACATTTACAAACAGTTTATTGGCCCTTTTCTAATTTTAACATGCCTAACAACCCACGCTCTTCAGTGTTCATTTACAGACATATCTTCCATCTTTATGTTGTTCATCTTCTCATGTTTGATAGTTTTTCTGCCTCTGTTTTCCTTCAAAGTACAGGAGCAGTGTAAATTTGATGTAAATTTGTGTTTTTGTCAGTATGGTTTTCATATTTTATTTGACAGCATTTGCATCTTGTAGTAGGACACATTTTTCCTTATGTTTTTTTCTTCTTTTTTTTTTGGAAGGAATATTAAGTTTTCCCACTTATCCATGGAAGCACTCCCAATAAGCCACAGAGATGGTAAAGGAAGAATGCACATGCAGTAATTGGGTTTTGTCTGCTGTGAAGAATTTTGAGATATAGAGACTGTTTTTTATTTTATTTTATTTTATTTGCCACCCTCAACATATTATTTCTATAATCTCCTCCTAATCCTTCCCCCGTGCTAATGCTGAATATCTGAGCAGTGGAAATGTATGCTCTAGAAATGGTGTGTTTGATGTTGTGTTCTGCTGGGTGGCACTATCTGATACCTGCCAGCCTTGTCCTGTGGAGTTTTCTGCTACATGTGAAAGCACTCTGAATATCTATACAAGGTGGTGCACTACCTTCTCTTTATTCTCTAAATCAAATATTTTTTAAATAAAGGAAAGAGTGTCACAAAAATTCCACGACACCGTACGCTCATTGCCTTTCATGTTTAATGACTCGACGCTCCTGATGTGTTCCTTTTATATGTCACTGTCAATTATATAGGCGGCATTTAAACAGTGTTTGATGCTGGATTTTTTGGGGGGGGTTGAGAGACAGGACTTGGCATGAACAGCAAAGTGAAGCTGTGTCACAGCAGATCCCATGTTGTATTTAGTAAAAGAGAGTGGCATCGCTGCCTTAAATAGCCTCTTTTTTAAAAAATAACAAAACCTGAGGGACTGTTGTCCTAAAGACGCTGAGATGAGCTAATGGTAGTCAGCCAGTTGCGCAAAGGTTTTTTTTTTTTTTTTGCAAGAGAACAAAAGGAAGATGATGAAAGTGGGAACCGTCGCCAATTTGTCTCATGTTTCTCCAGCATGGGATGAGCAGCAGAGTATTTTTGTGTGGAGCTTTATCCCCATTTTTAACCTAATTGATATCAGGCCCATGTGTGACAGTGAGTGGAGTTTACTGTGCCATTCCATCCTGGCTTTTTGTTTTACATCACTGTTCCTTCTATGCAAAAATATGACCTATTTTAGCCTTTGTACAGATTATTTTGTATGAGTAACATGTATTGAAATAAAGTGAACGGAATCAACGGTGGATACTTTTTTTTTTTCTTAATAGTTACTACAGCATTTCACATTTTTCCCCCCTCATCCTCAGCTGAGCTCATTTCATTGACCTGAATTGGGAAGGCTTTCATTTTGATGAGACTGATTAGTTTGTTCCCACACAACATTAATCAGCTTGTTAGCCTGCAGTGGAGATGATTTGCAGGTTTTCTGCTGCTATCTGTTCTCAATCTGTTGTGTTTCCCTGAGAAAACTTGCTAACTGTTAAACTGCACGGCAGTGTGACTAACACTGGTGCAGGCCACATAGTTTAATAATATTTGCTCTTCTTTTAAAACTATAGTTAGCTTTAAAGATTATTTGAATGTCCTGTCCGAAGTAGATTTTAGTTTTATAATGTTTATACAAATGCAAGAAGTAAGATCTATTCATATTTCATTCATTTCATATTTAAGGATTTTCAAAGGAGTAGTTTCACCTATTGTGAAATGAATTGAGAAGAGGGGGAGGGGAGTGAGTATGTGCCATTGTGTAACCCCCGTAAAACCACAATGTTTTAACTCTTCAGTTTCCCCACTTTCCCAGTTTTTTCGATAAGCTAAGCCAACTATCTGCTGGCAGTAGCTTATACGAGACAGTGGTGTCAGTCTTCTCGTCTTATGCTTGACAAGAAACCCAAAAATTTAATTTAAATTTAAGTTAAACTATACATTTAAAAAATATAAAAGGTAAAGCAAAATGCTGCATGGATAGGACAGGAAAACTCGAGTTGTGTTACGTCTATTAAAAATAAAAGACAGATCAATCTCATTAAGTCTTCATGTACCTCTGGCAAGGAACTGAGGTACCTAAGGGACTTTATGTCCTTCCATCACTCCACAGGAGACACATGATATAATGATTATAAAAAAAGAAAACGCTGTGATTAAGTATTCATGTACAGTACTCCTACTGCCAAGGACAGTATTGCATTTTCATGAGCTAGTGTTTGAAAACAGAGTCAGGGGTGAATCTTTTATACATTTACAGTAACTTTATACTCCTGTGACTTTTCTGCAACCTATCCTCAGATAATCCTTGTGCTCACACTGACAGATGATCCATTTCCCCCATCGATTATAAATGGAGTTTTACATCTAAATCTCATTACAGGATAGGCGGCTTGACATTATTTGCTCTGCGATTCATCCGAGTGTCCGCTTTCAGGGACAAATGGACACAGCACAGCAGAAACATCAGAACAAACTGCCTGATGTCATTTAAGTACATTAGATGTCCTCAAAGATGCCATTGTCCAGCCTCTGTCAACGGTCATTTTGTTTATTCTTTGCAGGAGAGTATCTGTCTTTAAAGATGTAATTTGTAGACTAAAACACAGGCCTTTCAGAAGCAATAAAGACTGGCATTGAAACAAGACAGGATCTAGGAACTTTGAGGTAACACAGAAAGACACAAAGATAGATAGAGCACGAAGGTGAAAGAAGGTTTACCAACTAGCAGCAGGCTGACAATACTCCAAAGCTCATAGGCCATTCAGCTGCAGTCAGCCAGAGATATTTTTTGTGTAATCTGACCCAGCGGCCTACATAGAGAGTTCTGGGCACTACCAGCATGGCGGGGCAGCGTCAAATCCCCAGGCCCCCTTTTTTTTTTTAGCCTACCTTATACTCCCACAGCCTGCAAACGACCCCCTCCACACAGATTCACATGGCGGCTGAGTATGTGTGGGGTGGGGCTGAATCTGAGGACTGTTTTGAAGTAAAACTCAATCTAGATCTGCGTGTTGGACTGTAAGAACACCAACAAACAATGGACAGGAAACTGAATCTGAACCGAGCTGAGACTTTCTCCTTCGTCAACCCCTGGATCAGATATTTTCTCTTCTTCTTCAGCTTCTTATTTTGGGTGAGTAGAGATTTGCACTGTTTAATGATTTTTCTTCCAGTGGTACAGGCCAGTGCTGACAAAAACACAGCTGTTATGCTGTCCTGGGACACCAAATATTCCTAATATTCCTGAGCATACAAATCACCACCTATCAGGGAGTTATAGCTTTCTGAAAGTTCAGATCTGCTAGGAAAGGAAGCAAAACTAAAAAAGTGATAAAGAAAAAAGCTTATAAATAATAAATAAGGCAATATAATTCATATAGTATCCACTACTGCATACAGCAGGGGCACCCGGCCTCCCCACTGCTACCTATTTTAAATTTACAACAGTTATATATGGACACCTACACTGCCCATGTATCACTGTAGTGAATGTTGAGTGGTGCATTCTTATCAAAACAGTTCAGTTCTGACTCATACTGAAGTATAAAACACCAAGTGCAAGTGTGATGGTTTCTATATATTTTCTGTCAGGGACTGTTACTTAAAAGCCGCTGTTGAATGGAGTGTTGGCTGCTGTCATTGCTGCACAAATTTGGAGTTCTATATTATATACAACTTTGATTCCCTAACATTAAAACCCTTACTCCAGGGGGTACTTCTGCTGTTACCAAGGGGAAGCCGAGGCCTATGTGGAAAGATTGTGCAGTAGCTAAAGTAACTTGAGAACAATAAAAAAATTAGGATTTGACGAAAAAAGGAAATAAATAAATAAAAAAAAATCCTTATTTAGAGTCAGCTGTAATACCTGAGCAATGTGCTACCGTTGGGAGTTCATGAATCATGAATGCAGTCGTAGTTGCTAGGTGGTAGTTGGCTAAAGGTAATGGACAAATGGTTACAATACTTAGCTAAAGGTAATAGACATATGGGTAATATTTGGCTAAAGGTAATGGATAAATGGTTAAAATACATAGGTACAGGTAATGGATATATGGTTAATGCTTGGTTAAAGGTAATTGATAAATGCTAATACTTAGCTTAGCTACTATAAATACTTTATACTTAGTTATAGGTAATAGATAAATGGTTAAAATACCTAGCTACAGGTAATGGATAAATGGCTAATACTTAGCTTAGCTACTATAAATACTAGACTAAGCTACAGGTAATGGATAAACGGCTAATACTTAGCTACTAACAGTTCAAATGCATAGTATAAAGTTATGTTTAAATTATTGATATTCAAAGCTAAAAGTAACCGATAAATGGTTAAACTAGATGGCTAAGAATACTCAATAAGCGCAGGCTCAAATTATACAAGCTCCACTGCTGGTTGTTAGTGTAACTAAGAAGCCAGGAGATTTGTACTGTTAGAGAAAGAGATACATAGGTATAGGAGATACTTCGAAGCAGCCATTAAATCATCCATCAGGCTCTTTTTTTCTCATCAGCTGTTACTTTCACACACACATAAGCACACTCGCACACACGGAGTTAAGACTCTCTCTGAGTCTCTTGCTTTTCTACCACATTACTACTTTGAGCACACAGATCACATCTATAGCGCTATCAAGTTCATACATCTTCATCATATCCCTGTTCATCCAATCCTACACAAACACAGCAAGGTGGCAAATACTGTACCGCACTCTGGCTGGGTTTAGAGCCAATCAGCAATAACTGCAGCCCCAGCAGCCACACAGCCCGGCCTGTGTTGACTTTGTTTATCAGACACGGGCTCAGAAGTGAACACTGCAGCCCTAATCCATCAGGCCTTTGTCCCCACGTCCCCACGGCTCAGTTCAGCTGGCTTTCACCTCCGCACACAATCTGTTGGGAGAAGCCTGATTCATCCCTTTGAAAAGCCTGAGAACAGAGCTGGAATACATTCACTGTGTGTGCGCCTCCTGTTGTAAATGCACACTGCCACCCATATTCACATAAGCACACACAGTGGTAAACTGACAAATGGAGCTGCAGGTGCAAACACTCCTACACAACAGACCAAAAAAAAAAAAAAAAAAAGGCCAAAATGTGCTTTCAAAAATCTTAAAAACATTGCAGTTCCAAATAAATGTGCATCATCGATGTCCTTGTGTTTTGTCAGTGATTTTCTTGTCAAGGCAGATTATTGATTGTGAGAGCGATAAAACATTCCATTTCAAAGTAACAATTTACTTCTCCAGAGCACAGATTGGACGTGAAGGCTCCCGAAAAAAAATTATATTAATTATACCTATTGTAGAGCAAATTATGCCATGGACCACGGATTCTCATGACCTCTAGAGATCTGATACAAGCTTTTCAGACAGAGACGAAACAAATCCATGTTTATACAGGCCGAACAAAAGGCATTCTGTACACACACAGGCTCACATAGACACACACACACTATTTACAATCAGGAAAATATCTGTGAATCTGGAGGCTGGAAATGAAAGCCAAGCCATGCAGATTGTTATTCAAGGTGAGAGAAACAATGAAGGAAAAGAGGGAAATTAGTGTTGACAATGCAATCAACAGGAAGCTCTAATTCCACCTATTTTCCAGCCTCTTCACTGTTTCATTGTGCAGCTTCTGTTAAAGTGAACTTACATCCTCAGCAGCTTTACAACACACCCTCACGCAATACCATTACTTACAGTACACACATGGCCGTCTGTGCCTGGATGTTGTCATCTCATTATTCTCAGTATTCTTCCCTTCATCCATGGCACAGTGTGGGCTGCTGACGTCCCTTTTGTGTTCAATATTTTACTCTGTACTTGGAGCTTTTTTTTTTAGAAAACCAACAGCGCAGGTCTCAGACAGATCAACACTCTCACACAGCTCCTCTCTCACACACACACACACACACCACCTCTTGCTTCTCTCTTCCTTTCTGTCTCTGCCGCTCTAGGTCATCGCACTGAAAGAAAAAAATAATTATCTGTAGTCTACAATTGTGAAAATACAAAACACTGCTCAGTAAAGCTTGAGTGGAGAGGCTAATAATCTTGATGTTCTAATCAAGGTCAAGTTGTATTCAACATTGACATTCATACAGATGAGACTCTCATGTAAAAACTGAAGTAGGTTTGGTGAGGTTCTCCTTTAACATTGCAGTTCGTCAGAAAAATGAACGCCCTCCAAATTCAGATGATTAAAGCTGAGATCCATATGTTGTTTTTGTTGTTGTTGTTATGTTTTTCCTGCTGACATCCATCTGTTTGTTTATCGCAAACACACAAACTGGCGATGTTGCCATGGCTACGGGGGCTCTGCTTACTCAGCATCTGAGAAAATGCTCATCATTTCGATCTGATCGCACCTGTCCTGGTTGACTGTGCAAATACAGTCAGTTCAGAAACAGAGCCAGAAGCAACACATTTTCCACAGAACAAGTTTTTCCAGAATAAATCCAATAGGATTGCACATTAATAAGTTAGATATAATTAAGTTGGATGTGGTCGCACAGGTGTTCTTATGGATCCCAGATTCCTACCCAAACTTTTAAAGAATACACCTCGTTTGATGCCAATCCTTAGACCTCAGAGCCAGAGGAGGGTTAGTTTAGGTTAGAATAAAAACAACACAGGGGGAAAAACCTGTGTTTAAAAAAAGCAAGCTTTAACTTATTGTTGAAACACTTTTATCACGGGGTAAACAACAGTCTAACTAACAGTCTTCCGCCTTGCTTGGAATTCTCCAAGAAGAAATTGGACAATCAGATGTGAAGAAACCATTTGAGGAAAAACAAGTCATATGCTGTGCTATTTCAGTCAAGTCTTGATGTGGCTAAATCTCTGAAAAAAATTAATTCTCTCTTTTCCCCAGGTTTTCTCCTTGTTGATTGTTGCAATCGGGGTGTATGCTAAAGTCCAGAAAGCTACAGGTATATGCATAACACTATTTTTACACATTCCGGTACATACAAAGAAACTTTTCCACAGATCTGAAGCTCTACAGAAACTATCTATTATCCTGTGTTACCACTATGGAGGGTGGATTTTTTCTTTATTTTTTCTTTTTTGGTTTGTTTAATCATTACGTGTCCATTCAGCTGCAGCTTTGTGTTCCCAGTGACACTTGGCCTTTTGTATTTGTTCACCTGTTAAGCTACCCCTTCAGGCAATAACATGTCATGTTTAGTAGGTTGGTGAGCTTTAGCTTTATCCTTAGTTCACCTCTGTTATTATTTTCACATTTATTTTGGTAATATACAATAGGCGGACAACAAAAAGGATTAATTTGGGCTCATCCCACTGATAAGGCCTCTACATCCTGTATAATCCACAACATATCATTGATATTTTAAGGGAATGAAAGCAGCCAGTGTAGGAGGGGAGGATGCAAAAACAGGAAAACAGGGTAAGGGAAGAAATGAATTTAAATAAAGGTTAGAAAAGAGAGTAGAAATAAAAATAAATGCAGGGAGGAAAGGAAGTAAAGGCAGGAATACAGGACGATGGACATTTAATCAGGCTGTTATGTTCCTGTCTTTCTGCCAGACACAGTGCGGGACACGTTCCTGATCGACCCAGCTGTCATCCTAATTGTGGTGGGGGTGGTCATGTTCTTCATTACTTTCTGTGGCTGCATCGGAGCCCTCCGAGAGAACATTCGCCTCCTCAAGACAGTAATAGAAATAATAGGCACATTACTAACACTGGTGCTGTGTTTTGGTAGCTGAAGTTACATTTAATCCATAGCCAAGTCTTACATTTCGTGTGTAACAACAAATCTGATCATCAGTTACGATTCTGTGTTAGTCAGACTGTGTTTTTTCATGTGTCTTTTCTGTCTGTAGTTCTCCTTCAGCCTGACACTGGTCTTCCTGACCCAGCTGGCCATAGCAATTCTGGGCTTCTTCTACTCCGATCAGGTATCTGCCTCTTCACTGACAATTCTGTGCACTAGCTTAGATATTTTATAATATAAAGTCACTATAAGGTCACATTTTGTCTCAGTTCTCTTCCACAAGTGACACCATCGACCTCTAATGCACGGGCTCCACTGATTTTGCGTATTCTTTCCCTGCTTTTGGACAGTCTGTACATTTTAAACTACAGTGTATAATACTTCATGAGGCATGGCATCTGAACCCACAGATGGGCTCATTGAGCACACAGGGGGAATGTCTTGTCAATGTGTGAGCCACACTGCATACACAGAAAAAAAAGTGTCTGTGTTGTTGTCTATACTCCCTGCTGTTAAGTGGCAGCAGAACAGGAGAAGTGCAGACACAGGTGAAGAGACAGGTATGAAGTTAAAAGGTTTTCATCGCAGTGCATGGAGGAAAGATGGATTGCAGGTTAGGTGGAAGCTTGACCTGGGAGCTGTGAGCCAGAAAGTAAGGCTGGGCAGGGGCAGTTAGGGGCTGTGGGAGCAGGTCCAGAATGAGATCCAAGGGGATTGAGTTGAGCAGGGATCCAGGGAGGAGCAGCAGGGCGGAGGCAGAACAGAAGGCATGACCAGACGAGGTGGGGGAGACAGATCAGGCATGACCGTGAGAGGAATGGAGAAAAGGATGGATCCTCAGAGGACAAAAGCCAAGAACTAGATGTAAAAAATAGCAAGTGGTAAATTATGGGCTGAAGTATAGCAAACGCTAACTGGCCACAGACTCTACAGATCTGGCAGGGTGGTGGCGGCAGAGCTGGGTATTTGTAGAAGTCTTGATTACATGATAGGATGCAGCTGGTGGGGCTCTGCTCTGACTCTAGCACACCTGTCTCCACTCACACAATCATACACACACACACACACACACACACACACACACAGAAAAGAGAGGGGGAGAACCACTTCTCTCTCAACAGGTTAGGGAACCACTGAAGTGGAAGGCGTGGCAGACAATGTCCCAGGAGCAGATGTAACACCCCCAAATGTATGTCTCAGGTTTATTTTGTTGACTGCCAGAAATGAGAGGAAACCATCCTAATTCTTTCAAGGATGTGCTGACATAAAGTGACTTGACTCTAAAATACTTAATTCTAGTTCTTCACAACTTGGGTCATTCCTATTTGTAATAACAACAGTGTACTTAAAGACCGAGCAAGAAACACAAAGTGTCAGATGATTGGACTGTTTTTTTTAACAATCCTCCAGGTTAGCTAGACGTCGTTGGTGGAGAAAATGAAGGCAAATGATAAAATTATTACCCATACTATCCATTGTTAACATCTGGTAGAGTTTACACACCAACCTCCTGGTTCAACTTTCTATGACCTACTGTAATTGCACATTGTTTTCTTCTGATATTAGGGATTTTTAAACTTTTGGGTGTCCACATTTTTGGGTTTACCTCCAAAGAAAAACAGTTTATATGATGATTTTGAAAGTACTGAATTTATTTGGTAGGTATTACGACCATAGTTGGACAAATCTATGATAATAACACTCAAGTAGCGAGAAGCCAGTCGTGACTCAACATTTTCTTTTCTATTTAATACAAAGCAGTGACCTTCAGGTTGCATGTATTTTACTCTGTCTCTGTCTCAGCGTAACTCCAAGCAGTTTTTCCCCTGTTTACAGCGGTACAGTTACAGAATAATACCATAGCTGAAAAATAAATCAATAAATAAAATTGCAAATGGTGGAGAGACACCAACTGAAATGATACTGAGAAATACTGTGAAAGAAACCAAAAAGGTAAATATTTAGATAGACTTTTGTTGGTCTTTAGTAAAATTTGCAGCTAATTTGTAAACTATAGAGATAAGTATACATGCTTATCATTTAAACACATTCCAAATGCCTCAAGAAGTACAGTTATACAGAATGTAAGTTCAGAGAGAAAGCACAAAGAATAAATATTTGTGTGAAGCACTTTTTTACCCATTTCAAAACTATTAATCATTTTGTACACACTTATGGGGGTTCTGATCCCTATGTTAAGATACCACTGATTAGAAGTGGCTGGGTCTGAATGAGAACAGATAACCCAGTCAACGGCTGCATAAATGTATACTGGTATATATCTGCATGCCTCTGTATCTGTTTGAGCCCCTAGTTACTGATTTAGAGGCTGAGGGGGATGGTAAGGATCCTTCCTCTAGCATCCATTTATCTCCTACAGTAACATCCCATTAGGGTTCCATCGAGAATAAAAACACAGCAGCCAATGGTGGCAACATTCCCTGACATTGGTGTCTCGTGGCGAGGTGTCTGGTGCCTGATGATACCTCTCCTCTCCCTTGTGTTCTCTGTCAGAGCTCGGACTGCCTGCTGCTAAACAGAGCAGTTTAACAACCCTCCCAGCATCCTTCCTCGCTAAATGATTCAAATGCTTCGGCACTTCAAAGTGGAACCAAATGTTCCATTTCAACAGATCCCTTGAAGGAGACTTTGCTGCTAATGACATGGGGAGGTGTGATGGGGGGGCTCTGAGGCCCAAGAGCGTACTGTACCACAGAAACACAGAAACAGAGGGAGGGACGGGGCGAGGGCAGGGGGAACGCTATAAAAATCCAAACAAAATTTAGTAAAACTACTTCAGGATAAAAAATTTGGGCTTTTTTGATACAGCTCATAGTATTTATCAACATAACCTGTTCTTACACAGGCTGTAATACGAACAATTCAGAAAGCCTTCAGCAAACTGCTAACAGAAGTTCATTTCAAGCTTAATAAAATTTTAAAGTTCAGCAGCTTATTAGCATACAGTGCTCCTATTAGCATATATTACATCTGAACTCAGTCTGTATAACCATGGCCCTCCCTGTTTTCATAATTTTTTAAGGATTGAGATTTGCATTAAATACTTTATAAAAATTTCTATTTATATGTGAGAATAGAGAATCTAAATATTAACAAAGCAAGGCCTCATAATACTCTGAAAAGGAATATAATACAATGAACAATGAACGCTAACAGAATTAAGTAGCACATTGTTTTAATGTCTGAATCAACCATTTAGTCTGGAATACTCATTACAAATTATTCAATCAAATCAATGTATTTCATTTATATTTCATATGGCTTTTGTTTATTCAGCTCGAGTGGAGTTGACGAAAATTACCACATTATAATAACAAATGGGAAAGTTCAAGCAATTATATAACACAGCTGAAATACTGGAAAACCTGCGCATGTGCTCAAGGGTTGGTGGTTTAATCATTCGTTATTCTGCAGTCCTGCAGTCATCATATCACAGCAGGAGTTCCTGCTCCTCTGCTGTCTTGTTGAGATACATCACGTGTGACACTCACACAATGGAAACAGCTTTATATGAGCAACAACATCTATTATTATTTATACTCATTTTAATATGGACAGATAACATGAGAATAGAATATTCAATTTGCACTTTGCAATTCTCCATAGATGCAGCCCAAGTAATTAACTGAGCCACAAAACCTGAGAGGTTTCACCATGTCACTGAGCACCTTAGCAGCCTGGTTATAAATTTCACCTCTGGCCATTTAAATGAAGTTATTAGAACTTGGCACTTTTAATTTCTTTAAAAAAGTTGATATTAAATGTTTTATTCACTGAATTAACATTGCCATGTTCTTTGTCCTAGACTCGGGATGCTTTGGGAAAGTTTGTGAAGAAAGCTATTGTGCACTATAGGGATGACCTGGATCTGCAGAACCTGATGGATTATATCCAGAAAGAGGTGCTCTGGCCAATTTCACTTAGCTAGAGTGGATGTGCTTGTGTCTGTTGGTATCCAAATCACAAAAGTCTTCAAATTGATCACAGCTAGTGGTTTATTGAATATGTCTGGGGACTAAACCAAGAAACCACAGCTAATGACTACAGAGCTGTTATGTCTTATGTTTGTTATTCTGGCCTTGGTAAGGGTTTTCCACATGAGAGGCTACATGTAAACATACAGTTCCTGCACTCTGCAAGAGTCTTCATGTGATATTCCTTTTCCATCTGCACACATTGGCAAACTTGCAAGCCTGGGTTTTCCCATGGGAGAAGCCCAGACTGGTAGGATGTACAACGCAATGCAAGACCATGTTTCTAAATATATACCTGTGCTGTGCTCTCCTCTCTCTCTCTCTCTCTTTATCTTCCCATCACTCAGTTCAAGTGTTGTGGGTGGAACAACTACACAGACTGGTCTTGGAACCTGTACTTTAATTGTACGCATACGAACCCCAGCTCCGAGCGCTGTTCTGTACCTTACTCCTGCTGCACTCCTGTTCCCGGAGAGGTGTGTTCTTTTTTATAAAAATGCATAACGCAACAAACTACTACAATTGCTTCATGTGAAAAATACTAACTGTAAAGCAACTTAAACTTCAAAGAAGGCTCTATCAGGTTGAATGCCAGTTAGCTGCATTTCTTAGCTACTATAAAAAGAGGTTTGAGTATGATGTGAAGCAGAACATTCAAAGTGCTCTGTGCAAAAATCTGTAGATGTATCAGTCAGCAAGGACACAAAGTGTCATTGATGTAAAATATCTGAAATCAGGCCCAGCCAATACTATCCAGCTACAAAACTGTGATGTCAGTAATTTCATCGCAGTTCAAGATCCAGAACTTAAGTCTAAAACTTGAGTTTAACCTGCATCACCTACAGGCAATGTATGTTACCAAATTTCTGAATAACATGGGTGACATGCTTCACTCATGCAATGAAAGACGACTGCAAATCTACACTGATCAGCCACAATGTTAAAACAGGTGAAGTGAATAACATTGACTATCTTGTTACAATGACATTTTATGTTTTTATACCTTACTATATTATGATTTTATTTTACGTTTTTATGCTTTACTATACTATGACGTTTTTTGATATTTTTATGCCTTACTATTCTATAACGTTTTATGCCTTACAATACTGTGACGTTTTTTGATATTTTTATGCCTTAAAATAGTATGATATTTATTGATGTTTTCATGGCTTACTTTACTATGACGTTTTTAGTCTTTTTTATTCCTTAGTATAGTATGACATTTTTTTGATATTTTATGCCTTACTATAGTATAACTTTATGCCTTACAATACTATGACATTTTTTGATATTTTCATGCCTCACAATGCGATGACGTTTTATGCTTTGCTATACTATGACATTTTATGCAGTACTATACTATGGTGTTTTTAGTCCTTTTTATGACTTAAAATAACATGACATTTTTTGAGATTTTCATGCCTTACTATGACATTTTATGCCTTAGTATACTATGACGTTTTTTGCTTTTTTGTACCTTACTATGACATGACATTTTTTGTTATTTTTATGCCTTAGTATACTATGATGTTTTTTAATATTTTTAGGCCTTACTAATATATGACATCATTTAAACCTTTTATGCCTTACTATTAGTAAGGCATAAAATTATAGTTTTTTTATATTTTTATGCCTTAGTATACTATGACGTTTTATGCCTTACTATACTATGACGTCTTTATACATTTTTATGTCTTATAATCACATGACATTTTTCGATATTTTTATGCCTTAGTAAACTATGATGTTTTATGCCTTATTATGAAATGATGTCTTTTGCCATTTTTATGCCTTAGTATACTATGATGTTTCATGCCTTACAATACTATGACGTTTTTTTATATTTTCATGCCTTAAAATCACATGACATTTTTTGATATTTTTATGCCTTAGTATACTATGACGTTTTATGCCTTATTATGACATGACGTCTTTTGCCATTTTTATGCCTTAGTATACTATAATGTTTCATGCCTTATATTACTATGACGTTTTATTATATTTTCATGCCTTTACATAACATGATATTTTTTTATGTTTTTATGCCTTACTATACTATGACGTTTCATGCCTTACTATAGAATGATGTTTTTTTATATTTTTATGCTTTAAAATAGTATGACATTTTTTGATGTGTTTATGCCTTAGTATATTATGACGTTTTATGCCTTATTATGACATGAAGTCTTTTGCCATTTTTATGCCTTAGTATACTATGATGTTTTATGCCTTACTATACTATGATGATTTTTTTTATATTTTTATGCTATAAAATAGTATGACATTTTTTGATGTTTTTATGCCTTAGTATACTATGACATTTTATGCCTTATTATGACATGACATCTTTTGCCATTTTTANACTATACTATGACGTTTTTTTACATTTTTATGCTTTAAAAAAGTATGACATTTTTCGACGTTTTTATGCCTTAGTATACTATGACGTTTTATGCCTTATTATGACATGACGTCTTTTGCCATTTTTATGCCTTAGTACACTATGATGTTTCATGCTTTACAATACTATGACGTTTTTTTATATTTTTATACCTTAAAATCACGTGACATTTTTCGATGTTTTTATGCCTTAGTATACTATGACGTTTTTCAACATTTTTATGCCTTAATATAATATGATGTTTTTTGACATTTTCATGCCTTACTATACTATGATGTTTCATGCCTTACAATACTTTGACATTTTTTAATATTTTCATGCCTTAAAATCACGTGACATTTTTCGATGTTTTTATGCCTTAGTATACTATGACGTTTTATGCCTTATTATGACATGGCGTCTTTTGCCATTTTTATGCCTTAGTATACTATGACGTTTCATGCCTTACAATACTACAACGTTTTTTTATATTTTCATGCATTAAAATCACGACATTTTTTTATATTTTTATGCCTTAGTATACTATGATGTTTCATGCCTTACAATACTACAACGTTTTTTTATATTTTCATGCATTAAAATCACGACATTTTTTTATATTTTTATGCCTTAGTATACTATGACGTTTTATGCCTTATTATGACATGACGTCTTTTGCCATTTTTATGCCTTAGTATACTATAATGTTTCATGCCTTATATTACTATGACATTTTATTATATTTTCATGCCTTTACATAACATGATATTTTTTTATGTTTTTATGCCTTACTATACTATGACGTTTCATGCCTTACTATAGAATGATGTTTTTTTATATTTTTATGCTTTAAAATAGTATGACATTTTTTGATGTGTTTATGCCTTAGTATATTATGACGTTTTATGCCTTATTATGACATGAAGTCTTTTGCCATTTTTATGCCTTAGTATACTATGATGTTTTATGCCTTACTATACTATGATGATTTTTTTTATATTTTTATGCTATAAAATAGTATGACATTTTTTGATGTTTTTATGCCTTAGTATACTATGACATTTTATGCCTTATTATGACATGACATCTTTTGCCATTTTTATGCCATAGTATACTATGATGTTTTTCCACATTTTTATACCTTAATATACTATGATGTTTTTTTGACTTTTTCATGCCTTACTATACTATGACATTTTATGCCTTACTATACTGTAATGTTTTTTTATATTTTCATGCCTTAAAATCACATTACATTTTTTGATGTTTTTATGCCTTAGTATACTATGACGTTTTATGCCTTATTATGACATAACGTCTTATGGCATTTTTATGCCTTAGTATACTATGACATTTTATGCCTTATTATGACATGACATCTTTTGCCATTTTTATGCCATAGTATACTATGATGTTTTTCCACATTTTTATACCTTAATATACTATGATGTTTTTTTGACTTTTTCATGCCTTACTATACTATGACATTTTATGCCTTACTATACTGTAATGTTTTTTTATATTTTCATGCCTTAAAATCACATGACATTTTTTGATGTTTTTCTGCCTTAGTATCCTATGACATTTTTCAGTGTTTTTATGCCTTAATATAAAATGAAGTTTTATAAAATTTTCATGCCTTACTATACTATGACATTTTATGCCTTACTATACTGTAATGTTTTTTTATATTTTCATGCCTTAAAATCACGTTACATTTTTTGATGTTTTTATGCCTTAGTATACTATGACATTTTATGCCTTATTATGACATGACATCTTTTGCCATTTTTATGCCATAGTATACGATGATGTTTTTCCACATTTTTATACCTTAATATACTATGATGTTTTTTTGCCTTTTTCATGCCTTACTATACTATGACATTTTATGCCTTACTATACTGTAATGTTTTTTTATATTTTCATGCCTTAAAATCACGTTACATTTTTTGATGTTTTTATGCCTTAGTATACTATGACATTTTATGCCTTATTATGACATGACATCTTTTGCCATTTTTATGCCATAGTATACGATGATGTTTTTCCACATTTTTATACCTTAATATACTATGATGTTTTTTTGCCTTTTTCATGCCTTACTATACTATGACATTTTATGCCTTACTATACTGTAATGTTTTTTTATATTTTCATGCCTTAAAATCACGTTACATTTTTTGATGTTTTTATGCCTTAGTATACTATGACATTTTATGCCTTATTATGACATGACATCTTTTGCCATTTTTATGCCATAGTATACGATGATGTTTTTCCACATTTTTATACCTTAATATACTATGATGTTTTTTTGCCTTTTTCATGCCTTACTATACTATGACATTTTATGCCTTACTATACTGTAATGTTTTTTTATATTTTCATGCCTTAAAATCACGTTACATTTTTTGATGTTTTTATGCCTTAGTATACTATGACATTTTATGCCTTATTATGACATGACATCTTTTGCCATTTTTATGCCATAGTATACGATGATGTTTTTCCACATTTTTATACCTTAATATACTATGATGTTTTTTTGCCTTTTTCATGCCTTACTATACTATGACATTTTATGCCTTACTATACTGTAATGTTTTTTTATATTTTCATGCCTTAAAATCACGTTACATTTTTTGATGTTTTTATGCCTTAGTATACTATGACATTTTATGCCTTATTATGACATGACATCTTTTGCCATTTTTATGCCATAGTATACGATGATGTTTTTCCACATTTTTATACCTTAATATACTATGATGTTTTTTTGCCTTTTTCATGCCTTACTATACTATGACATTTTATGCCTTACTATACTGTAATGTTTTTTTATATTTTCATGCCTTAAAATCACGTTACATTTTTTGATGTTTTTATGCCTTAGTATACTATGACATTTTATGCCTTATTATGACATGACATCTTTTGCCATTTTTATGCCATAGTATACGATGATGTTTTTCCACATTTTTATACCTTAATATACTATGATGTTTTTTTGCCTTTTTCATGCCTTACTATACTATGACATTTTATGCCTTACTATACTGTAATGTTTTTTTATATTTTCATGCCTTAAAA